ACACACACACACACACACACACACACACACGTCATACAGCACATCGGCCTCATGGCATGTACCATTGTAAAGTTAATACAAATACTTTTCCATAAACGCTTGATACATTTTCCTTGAACCAAGAATAATATGATGATGAAAATAATAATAATATTACATGTATAATAATATAGATCTAATAATAATCATTTTATTTGCCCTTAAAATCCTGGCAATTTCTCAATAATGCGAAGGAAAGTATGAACGTCGCAAAACGAACAGAGTGATACCCCCTGCTAGTTTCATCTTTAGACTTAATCCTTCCTCCTTCCACTTCTTTGTTGATAAACAGAAACGACAGGGCGTGCACTTTTGCCGATATTAATTAACCTGTTTGCTTATATCGGAAATAAGCTTTATATACGAGTGTGGAGTGATTAAAATACACCCACACAGTTTCATATTGTGCTTATTTTGAATTAAAGTTCTCTTCACTCTGTTCAGGAACGACTTTGTTTAGCCTAGCCAAGGAAACGCCCAAGCTAGAAAGAGCCTAGCCTAGCCTCGGGCCTAGCGGTGGCCTAGCATTCTTTTACTCTGACTCGAGTTCGAGACCAGACTCTTCTCGAAAGTCGTAAGATACCAAAGACTAAATAAAGTTTAGATGCACAAAATTTGCATCCTCGATTTAGATCTATCTTTGTAGATTAGTATTTGATATAGATATCTAGATCTAGAAATCTAGATCTAGATTCTAGAAGATAGTTAAAAGTTTGAAGTTAAAAGTTAAGTGACCATAGTTTGACAAGAGTGGCACAAAGAACGAAGTTTTAATTTCAACCATGGGGAAAATTGAGTGGGCAATGTGGGCTAATGAGCAAGCCATAGCCAGTTCATGTGGTAAGTATAAAAGTAATTCTATCAACTAGATGTAAATATACAATAGAGTCTGCTTAAACTAAGCACGGTTTATCCAAAGGCAGCGGTAAATGGAATTTTTTGTCTTCTTCTATTTGAGCAACCTATTCAAACTGGAAAGCAGACTTGGTGATCTTGTAGTTCCGTTCGTTTAAGTCCATGATCCATTTGTTTACATCCAGAGAAGAAATCCGGAAGTCTTGATGACCGAATAGGCAACACAAAGAACAGGGATGCGACCCAACTGCAAACATCAAATTATGGTAAAATTCAGGGAGGCATGCCGACCTGAAACCCCCCCCCCCCCCCCCCCCATCTCCATTTGACTCGTGGGGCCCAAACCGGCGAATAATAATTGAGAGATGGGAACTTCCGAAAAAGCGCCATTCTTTTCTGCTGTAGTGTTTCCTTCCAGTCTCACGCTTAGTTCACTCCTCAACGATGACCTGGCAATTCAGGGTCTCTGGCGTTCAGCTTTGGACTTTGACGAACAAAACTACAAAATCACCGCAGGCTTATCTCTATCGAAAATCCAGGGATCATGTGGACTCCGGTTTAAGCAGACTCCAATGTACTTCAAATTTTCATGCTCTTGCAGAATGTGGGCCGTGAAATGAAGTTTGTGATGCAGCCTTTATGGTTAATGCTTTTGTTCAATATTCTGTTTTGTTTCTGCCTCTTTGCCACCACTTCAGGCTGGCATTTCACATATTTTACCCTTAACTTTCCTGTGATAAGAGTAGAGGCACAAAGTGAAACATATAGATGGTTGACAGATGGTGTGATTTGCTCCTTTCCTATCAAACATCTGTCATTTTTTATCATCTCTCCTCCGTCCCTTTTTTTGTATGTGTGACTCCCCAGTTAACACCTCTAATCTTTGACTCTTATATGACCTTCTTGTTTTGCAAGGGCCGTAAAACTCTTACAAATGCAATATTGTTGAGATATATTTCACAGTGTCTCAAGGTACAGTTTTTACTTTGTGTCAAAACACATTGTAGTTTATACAAAAAGCAGGGAACTTGTTTCTGAAAAAGTAACATGAAAGTGAGATGCTGTATGGAAGTTTGTAAGTTTTCTGACTGTGGAAAGTTGTGTGCTATTAGCTTTGTACCCTTAGTTCTCTAGATCTCTTGTAAGTCTGATGTGTGGCTATAACTGTTTGTGTTCTTACAGATATATTCAACTTTTGTTTCAGAGTGTCTACTTTTGTGAACCCTTTTTCAACAGAAAATGAAAGATTTTAGCTTCTGTAAATACCTTTTTTCCCCATTTTCTTGTTATACTTTCTTCACAGTTACAGCCCTTGGTGGATTCATCGCTGCCATTGGACAGTTTAAAAACTGGCAGATAGGGGTCTACGCAATGTATCCTTTCTGTTATTTAGCAACAAGAACATGCTTTTTATACTAGACTTGAAGTTGTTTTAGCATTGCTGCTCTGGTAAAATAAATCTTATTTGTCACATGTGAAATATAAGCTGATAGCCTATCTAACACGTGAAATATAAACATTTGCATAATAAATTACTCCGCACACTTTATTTGCCTTGTGACCTTCCATAAGCAAAGTGTAGACTTGAATCATAATAATAAACCGTGCAATGTTATGGCAGCCGCTATTTGCCCTCTTTAAAAACTTCGTTTGTGCGCACCATAGTGAACCGGGATTACGTCAGAGTACGGCGATGTATTTTAGTGCAATGCTAGCAAATCCATGCTAGCAAACCACTCCCAGCCTTTGGTTTGTTTTGATCGCAAAGTTTAAAATCAAAGTTATCTCTATTCTCGCAAGAACATGTCATATAAATGCAATTTCTTAATTTTTCAACTTTTGAATCATATGTTTTCTGGTGCTTTGCCTAGATCTATGCTTACGCTATTATTGTTTTGTTTGTGGTTTATTTCGCAGCGGGAGACATACGGATAGCAAAACATGTAAATTAGCTTGGCTAAAAACAAAGGAAGACAATCCAGATTTTTTACAATCCTCACTCTGACTCCGACGGGCATGAAAATGTTGTTTTCATGTGAGATCTAAAATGGATCTTCTTGTCCAATTGGCTGGTCATTTGAACTTTGTTGGTCCAGATCTATGTCGCCAGCTGATATGAGTATGGTATAAAAAATGTATTATACTCATTATGGTGATAGACCATGATTTTTCCTACTTATGAAATTGCCAGTTGTAATCACTCGTTGAGACTCGTGATTACAACTTGGCAATTCCACTTGTAGGATAAATAATGATCTACCACTACAACTCATGTAATAAATTATTTATATCCCATAGTGTAAGTCTCAATTAGAGTTTGTAATCTAGACATTGTCTTCTTTTACTATCTATGAGACTTTTTCAGGGACTCCTGTTAATAGCAAAAGCTCTCTGTGTTGTATTCTATTTAAAATCAACAGGTTCAGACTGGTTGCAAGGTTCGCCAGTTCAATTCTTTTATGGGAGAGCGATTAAGAAACTGTGAATTGATTTTTAACTATTCCAGTACGATGATATTTCCCAACAGCTGGTACATCATGACTCAAAAATAGACTAGACCTTAATAATAGTAAAATACGTTGTGACCCATTTTTGCGTTATACTTGTTTTTGATGGAAAAAATGTTCTTGTTGATCCATGAGTTTTTAAATGTGACTTGCAACATGATAAGTTCTTGGCTGAGGACAGCATTGTAAATAAATCAGTCCATGACTGATACAGTCGACTAGCCACATCGCTTAGTAAAAGAATTTTTAAAGCTGACTATTTCCTTTTTGGGTCATGACTAGCTAGGGGTGTTAAACTGGGTTCTGAAGATCCTTAGGGAAATGCACTTACTCAGTGAAGGATAAATTTAAGTTTTGAAAGCCTTACGTGTGGCCTGCCATTCCACCATCAGGAAAATGTCTCATCTCTGTAGTGACTTCTTGTACTACTCTCTCTCTCTCTCTCTCTGTCAAACTAACCCCAGCTCTAGATACATTTCTCTCTTCTTGATTGTTGACTTGTTCAAGATTTAATGGGCACGTACTTACTCTCTATCGGCACTGAAAAATTCTGAGTTTATCCCCATGTTACTGACCTATCATGTTATTGTTTCCTTGACCTCAACAAGAGCTGCTGGCGTCCTCACTTTTGCTCTGGAGTACCCACGAGGGAAGCGACAGAAGGGGACATCTTATGAAAGATCGTATGTTCTGTGATCTCTTTACATTTCATGTTTTGTATTCTAGAAGAGAGTGAATTGTGAAAATATCTGTTTGCTTTGCAAATGTGCATCATAGAAGAGTATGAATTGAGAAAAGATCTCTTTACATTGTACGTTTTTTTGTATCGTAGAGGGTCTCTGGAGGTAGGATACAGAATGGTTAAAAGTTAGTGTTTAGTTCCAAAGGACATTCCAATTACCAACTATAGATTTCTCTTCCCAGTGTGGTTTGAACCGCTTTCTCATCCAGTTCACCCCAGCCCTCACCCAAACATACAAATCTGTCTTGGAAGGAATTTTTTTTTTTCACTCTATCTTGTGATTGCCATTTTAGACGAACATTTAACTGGGGGTATTTTGCTTTTCTACCTTTGCAACAGGTTTCAGAGACCTCTGACAATCATTGTGAGCCAAGGCAGACTCTTGACCCGCAACTACTTTGTCAGATTTGTATTGTACCTAGCGTGAGTATTCTTTATGTGCTGTTCATTTTATACTTCTCACATTCGGGTAACTTTTACCCTGCGGTTGGCACGGTTTATGCTCCATAATTTGGCAGAATTTAATCTCTTACTTTCAAAATTGAAGCCATTTTAGACATTCACTTTATTTGTCATATACATCAGTCTATAGAGCCAAATTTGACTTTCAAAATAGCCTTTTAAACATTGCACACATGCATTATGCATTAATACTACTTCTACTGTGTATTGTATGGGGGGGAATTTAGTTTCCTAAAATGCATCGCTAGATTTTACGTTCACCTCATCACTCAGCCACCCAGCAAGACGTGTATGGGAAAAATGAACATGTTTGTCAAGAGAGCAATGAGACCAAAATCAATGGCAATATTGAGATAATAATAGTGCTTGGGGGGTCAACAAGGGAAATAAACCTCAGATTGGTTTCTGTAGTTAAGGCTATGTAATTTTCCACAGTTACGTCCCTTCATTTTCATGCCATACCAGACTATTTTTAACGAACAAAAAAAATCTGTGGACTGTGTAGTTCATTGTCTTTGGTTTGAAACACATTCATCGGTTTTCATTTATCCTATAGGTTGCTAGAAGCTTACATTTATTGACAATTTAGTAACTATTGTAGCTTTGTTAATTTGTTAGCTTTTATTTTGTTCCTTGTTCTCTTGTCCTCAGGCTGAGTGTTCCGTGCTGTTTTGTATTGCCTACATTGCTGGGAGCCCTGTGCCTTATGATCTCTGGATTCATCTACTTACTGGTTAGTATCTTTAAGGACTGTGTATTGCAAAACTCATCATGTCTGCACTTTTCAACTGTTGTCTGTAATATCCTTGGACCAACATGTATCACTAGAGTGACATATTTAATGAATTCATAGTCTTTGGGAAAAAGGGAGATAAGTAGTTTTGCCTTATTTTGTTGATGTGTGGGCTTTTTTTATTCTTCGCAGTAAGAGCTGTATGACCTGGCAGGTTGCTGGTCCTACTTCTTTACCATTTTAAAATTTTTTTTAGATTCTGTCTGTGCATCTTGGTTTTTCCCAGTACCGTACTTAATGACTGTGTGTTGGGGTTTGCTTCTTTGTAACTCAGAAGTTGGTACCCATCCTTCAGCCCCTGCTATCTTTGGTTTTGTTTAAGATAGTGCTATTTTTTACATCAACTTCCTTATGATGTGGATTGGTTTTCTGGTACCCAAATGTTAAACATTAGATCTAGTACTAATACCAGCATTCTTTAAAATACAGGTACATTCAGTCAAAATTGTCACCCTTTGTCGAGGAGAAAAGTGGCTGTCTTACACTGTTTCATTATAATGTGAAAAATACTTGGGGAGGGGGGGGGGTAAAAAGTGGCTGTTCGACTATTGTTTTCGTTGTTGGGAGATCATGTATGGTCTTGCTGTCTTTTTTTCTACCAGGCTGCTGTCAAGGGAGAGGAATGGCATCCAGTTGAGGCCAAGAAAGATGAACCGGGACCTAAGACTATACAAGAGCCGAAGCGACCTCCGCCGAGACGACCTGAGACAAGTGGGACACCCGGCGCTGTGGAGTCTGCTCAGGTCAACAACAGAGTTTGACCCAGGCATAGGAGTCTCTGATTTTGTGTGTGTATGTGTGTGTGTGTGTGTGTGTGTGTGTGTTTGTGTGTGTTTGTGTGTGTGTGTGTGTGTGGAGGGGGTGGGGGGAGGGATATGGGTACAGCTTGTGCAAGACAACTGGTGCCTTTTCAGATTTAACCATTTAGCTCCTGAGGAATTGTCTTGGTGCATGCCCGAAATCCTGGAAAGGGGAGATAATCCTCTAAGCTTATATCCAGTCAACAAACCCTGTCGTACCAGCTACCTTGGAGTGAGCATAAAATTGGTGGTACAGCGAAGCTGGTGGTTTAAAGGGATAGTTACCGATTGCCATCTTGACCAGGGGTAAACGGGTAGAGACTTAACACGAAGTGTGACCAGTCTTTCTTCATCCACTATTCTACATCTCTCTCGCGCGGTTGCCATGGGCATGGGGAAAACAATGGGTAGCAACCAATTACATGTACAGCTCCAGCTGAACTTTACATCAATTCATATTGAAATTTTTTGCCAGATCAGAAACTAGGGTATATATATATATAAATATAAGTGATATAGTGTTACTTTTGTTGTTGTTATCGATTCAAAAGCTAATGTGTCAAGATGCAGTGGACTCGGGCCCTCATCAGTTTTTGGGCATGTGGAGTTATTGGTATCACCTGAAAGCCAATTTATTTGCTTTGCTTTCAATGAAATAGATATCCATCTATATTGAATAGAACTCGAGATATTTGCGATTGAAGGAAGTGAGGACGCCTGGTTTCAGTAGTGATTTTGGCAAGAAAATGGCCGCCAAAGTTTGGTAACTCCAAATACTCCAATAGCTAAAGAGTCTTTAAAAACAGAAAAATAACTTATTTTGTGCCTTTATTCAGTGTATTTCAGTAAAATTCACGTGGAAATGTGTTTTTATATTGACATAAAAGGTGTTAAGTCGGAAAACAAAAATTCGATAAAAATTGTCAAACTAGCCGAAAATGCCTGTATCTTCGATTTATTCATGGTTTTGAAGAGCGCCTGATTTTACCATGATGCCTCATTAATGAACTTGTACCCTTCTCCTTGGTGCACTGTGATAGAATGTACATCTGTGGGGGTTTTTACTGTTCCATGTAACAAACTGGAGGGTGCTGGTGATGGTAGAAGAAAGTGCTATATTGTTCCACAGCGGAAAAGGGATCATTAGTAACAAGGAAAGAAAAGCAGACTGAGACTTCCTGAGACATTCATCGCAGGTCACAGTTTTCTGTTGTCTTTTTTTTACTTGTGTTGATGTTACACTGAATTTTCTTCAATTTCCAGTTGTGTAACACTAACAGGATTTAATTTTATCTCAAGAGGGATTCCTCTTTCAGTTGAAATTGAAGATAATGTACTATAATTGAATGCTAAGAGCAATGTGCATATGACAATTGGTTTTTTTTAACCCAATGCATTCATGAATTCTGTAATTGTAAGAAGTTTTATGCTGCCTTTTGCCATATTTCTGTGTGGTTACCTCATGAGGGACATAGCAGAGCTTTAGCAAATAATCTATTTCCACATGCACATTCCTATATTATGCTTATTGGTACATATATTAAGTTCTCCATTTTTGACGTACGGGTTTTTAATAAAAGAGGAGGATTGGAGCATCATTGCCTCAAATATTACATGAGTTGTGTATTCGGGACTGTCTTTCACTGTAGACTGTTGCTGCTATAGTAGCTCAGTTGGCAGGCTGCTTGGAGAGATTTGCCTCCTCTACAATATTTTAAACAACACTGTTGTGGGTTTAACTTGTATGTACAATATACTGTAGACCTGACCCGTCGGTGGCTGGTGGGTGCTCTGGTGTGGTTTGCTTCTTTTTTCTATGAAACATCTATCGTCTTTATCTCTCCTCCTTTTTTGTGTGTTTGCTACTCTCTTAAAACACCTCTAATGTTTGACACTTTATAACCTAATTGTGTTGCAAGTGCCATGAAACTCTTACTAAATCTAAAACTAAAAGCAAGTGGCTAATCTCCGGCGTCGTGCCAGTCAGTAGATCGATGGCCATTCTTTGACGTCACGTATAGTTGCACATGTCGCTTCCTCACAGCTTTCCACCTTCCTTGTCGGCACGTTATGGCCTTAGGGACCGTTCACAAATGATGTCAGCTCAGAGGGGGAGGGGGGGGTCAGTGAAAAGTTGACAAAAGTTGACAGGGTCCTTACAAAGTTGATGTCAACCATGATGCTCTAAAAGTAAAAGGTTGGTTGTAATAAAAGGAAAATAAAAGAAAGGAAGAAAAAATATTATAGACCTCATTTTCTTGGCCTAAAATTAACACAGTTAAATTTGACCATATTATCTTTTTGGTCTAAAAACTAAAATTAACAGTTATCTCCCCATGACACAGACTGTTAGAAGCTAGATACATGTATGTCAACTAAGGTGGGGTCCTGGGAAAGATGACAGAAGATGACAGGGGGGGGGGGGGCTCAGTTTTGGCCAAGTTTTAGCTGACGTCATTTGTGAATGGTCATTTACACAAACACTCATCAAGGTCGGCATTTCTTCAAAATGCGATTCACCATAGGTGGACACGCAGCCACTACTCAATGAAAGCTCAAGTGACGGAAGAAGGAGGAATTTCTCTGTGTTAGAGGTCACAGCACCAGGAGTGTCAACAACCCCCCAGTCACGACCAGAAGTACAAAAAGGCACATCTGGCAATGAACTCAGTTGCAACAATAATAGCCATAACGTGCCGACAGGAGAGATGGAAAGCTGTGGAGAAGTGACATGTGCAACTTAACGTGACGCCAGAGAATAGCCACTTTCAAACCAAAAACCTGATGCAACTAAAAAGTACCGTATTCTTTACTTTGTTATGCCCATTTTGAACAAAAATTATTTAGATACACACAAGCACAGCGGCTAATGGCATGGTGGATAAAAGCTTGATCCACCTGAAGATATAAAGACATTCACATATAATTATAAACTTGCCCAAGGTTGTATTCACCTTGCTGAAAATTTGCTCTAAGTAAGTAAGTCATTTTGCTCTGTGCGACAACTTTAAGCATGTGAGTATGTGCTTTGGGTTTGTTTTTATCTTTGAACATGTTTATAAACTTGTATGTAATTTATTCTTTTTGCGAATACAATTTTTGCAAGACACATGTGCGTTTTCTACATTGTTTCTTATTATAGGAAGATTTTGCTCTTAGTTTTGTGCCATATCATTTACTTTGGTAAACCTTTTTAAAGACAGTATATTAGCATTAGCAAAAGACACATTTTTTAAAGATTGAAAAGATAACCTGGCTTTTACAAGTTTGTCTTGTTCTGCAGCATGGGCCTGTTTTCTTTGATTTAAAAAAAATGGATGCATGTATGAATTTTCATAATGAGTACCTTGAAGGTAGTAAGGCCCCAAGTGCGTCTGAATAGGTCAAGCTGTACTACAGTGCTGTTCCGTTTGTCGTTTATACCGCCCCAGGACCTCATGGTTTGATGGCGTCTGCTGTGTTGGCATGCCATCCATGGTTCAGTACAGCTTGAGTGGAAGTGATCACTGCTCTCTCTCTCTTTCTCTCTCTCTCTCTCTCTCTCTCTCTCTCTCTCTCTCTCTCTCTT